TTGTAATAAAATACTTGGAACTTATAACACTTATTTTTCAAAGAATTTTGTGACATGTACATCAACATTTATACAAGAGATTACATAATGTAATATTTTACTATTTGCCAGTTTAAAACCTAATGAACTTTTTCATCTATTTTTTTTCCTCCACATCACTTTCGATAATCGCTTATGTACCATTTTGATGTAAAAGTAGCAAAATCCCCTTTTTTTGGGATAATTGCAGCACCGATACCAAACCTTTCATTTAGTAGGAGAATTTGTCTAAACCTTTCATTTGTGTCACCCAAGGTACCAAATCTTTCAAAATGTCACAGCTGAAGTTCAAATGGATGTTTTTTATTAGTTTGACCGTTAGTTGACCAAATAATTGAATTTGACAATAATTTTAACTAATTTTAAAATGTTAAAATGGTAACTTTATATTTTTTATAATAAAATAACTAAAATCAAATAATTAAAATTAAAAACTCATTTCCACTCTCTTCTTCTCCATCCACCCCACACATACCCACTACATCTCCACCTCAAAAGCATCACCACCACTATCGGACGGTCCAACCGCACCCACCCAACGCCGACGCCACTACCATCTTCTCCACCACCACCTTCATTCCCATCATCCAACAAATTTTCAAATCCCAAACTTAAAACCCCACCCTCACTCCAAAACCAAACACAAATTCAGAAAGAAATGGAGCTTTCCCAATTACTTTTGTTAGAGAATGGAAGAGGAATAACCTCAACTTCCAATTACTTAACTAGACTCGGAAGCTATGACATTACTAGGCCAACTGCTAATGTCAACATGATGGGATATGCTAATTGGAACTCTGGCGTTTCGACAGATTCAGATCGAAGTCCTTTGAGGCGTGGCTAGTGCTGTGGCTGGCCACACCGTCGTCGGAAGAGGTGACGCCTCTTTTAGAGCTCCCACTGCCTCCAACAATGGTACCTTCTATTGGGGATTGAACCAATATAACAAAGAATCAGCGGAAACAATTAATCCAACCCCTCAATGGACAAGAATTAAAATGACCATTATAATAGGCAAATCCAACAAACTCACACACACTAGCAGGAATGTAAATTGAACTCCAAAATTTGTTAACGAGGAAAACCCTACGAAGGGAAAAACCTTGGGACCTAGTATAGTAAAAGAGTCATCCACTATAAAGATAA